ACAATATATACTTTATTTGCAAGGCTGTGATGGTGCACGTGTACCTTTGAAATGCTTGATTAGTAGAACTCTTTCCATTCCCACTGCAACTACTTGGCTCAGGCCTCATCACCTCTTTTTTTTTTTTTTTTTTGGAGACAGAGTCTTGCTCTGTTGCCCTGGTTAGAGTGCAGTGGCATCATTATAGCTCACAGCAACCTGAGACTCCTGGGCTTAAGCAATCCTGCCTCAGCCTTCCAAGCAGCTGGGATTACAGGGCCAAACCACCACACCCGGCTAACTTTTTCTATTTTTTTAGTAGAGATGGGGTCTTGCTCCTGCTCAGGCTGGTCTGGAACTCCTGAGCTCAAGTGATCCTCCCACCTTGGCCTCCCAGAGTGCTAGGATTACAGGCATGAGCCACCGCGCTGGCCCTCATCACCTCTTGATTAAACCTTCAGTATATCAGTGTGAAATTGCCTTCCTCCTTGTTCCAGTCCATCTTCTGTGCTGCTGGGAGTTATTTTCTTGAAAATCGTATGTGCTCGTACCAGACCTTTAGAGAACTTCACTGGGGTCCTGTCCAGTGCCTGTGCCTGTCACACAGCCCACAAGGACCTGCTCTCGACACGTTTTGGGACCCCTCCCTCATCTACTAAGCTTTTTAGCCTTTCCGAATTTACCACTCCTTTCTGATAGGCCATCCCCTTTTATGGGTGTTCCTTCTGCTAGAATTCCCCTTCCTTCCCGGCCTGTGGAGCCGAGCCTCTCCTCCCACTAGGCCCGTGCAGGCAGCAGCTGGTCGGGCTGCTCTCCACAGTCTTCACTGCCGGAAAGCGCAGCACTTGCAGTCACTGCTTCATAGAATTGTTTTCCTTTTAAAAAGCTTCAAACAAGTAATGTCTTATCTCTATGGCCCTGTTGCCTGGCTCTTACAATATGTTTGTTGACAAGAAATTGTATATGAATGCTGAAGGTATTAAATGTAAGGAACAGACGAGATTGTCACGCAGAGGGTTCCATCAGAGAGGCTGTTTAGAGAAGATCTGTCACAGGCTGGATCGTCACAGAAGTGGGGTTTGTGTGAGAAATGGGGTGGAAATCACACCTGAGGTAAGGTGTGAGAGGTGGTGCTGGGTAGAATTCAGGGTTTATGGAAAGGATGGTAAAGACACCAACTTGGATGTGTTAGAGACAGTGTAATGTAGGAAATACGTAGTTTCTTAAATCACACAAAACTAAGTTACATTCTTATTTTGTGCTCCCCTAGTGTGTTATTGTGTACTGATGACTTCACTTCCTTGAGTGACAGTAAAATGTGTGTGATAATGTCCACTTCACAGGGTTGTGAAGATTTAGGAGAGATAATCCCAGTAAGATATGTCATACAGGCCTGACACATCACAGGCACCAAATAATCCTACATAGTGGTTCTAGTTGATTATGTGGTCAATGAGAAACCTTTCATCAAATATAATAGAACTTTCTTTACAGAGCAAGCAATAGAAATGTGTACCAAGGTTTGTGTTTCTTCTCCATTAATATGGTAGCGTTTACTGTGACTTGGATTTTAGTCGAGCTTTGCTTTTGGCTCATTGCTCAATTTATGAATAAAATTCATAATATTTGTTCCTCAACTATTTTACTTGTGGGTTGAAGATGGTTGACATATCTATAAAAAAAAAAAGGCTTTGAGTTCTTGGCAGGAAAGTACCATATAGGTATGGACATCAGTATTTGAAAACTTACTGATTACCCCTAGTTGAAAACAGGAAAATCTAAGAGGGAAAGTCAGCTGTTAATGCTGTACTAATAGAGTTGGTCTTCTCCTGGCCTGGCTGGTAAGTTTTCTTTAGCTTTCACATGGTGTAACCTTTTGAGGATAGTTATGATGTATGTGAATCCTCCTTTCCTGTTTGACCTGCAAAACTTTCCAAAAGGAGGTACCTTTGTAATAATGGTAAATTTAGTGAAACCTGTGGGGTTTAAAAAAAAAAAAAGCTTATTATGACAGTATTGAAAGAGGAAGCTAATCTGTGTTGTCAGCTGAGGCCACAGCTAGTCATTTCTTGAGAGATGGAACTGTTTCTGAGAAAACACAGTTTGAGGGTAGGAGGTGAAGGGACTGACTGTTCATCAGAAGTTGGCTTAATTTTTATCCAAGTCATAAACCACAGTTCTGTGTGGGTATTGCATTTCTGCATTCGCTCAGTGACAAGAATTAAGAACAGATGATGCCTATAGCAAAAAGTATCTGTTCTTGATGGTTCTGCTACTGGCGTTATTATAGGTTGAGAAATAAGATTTCCTGTGGAATTGTGGTTTGGTTGCTTTTGTGGTATCTCATGCTATATAGTTTGAACTATCTTCATTTTTCTCCCTTTACTGAATCCTTTTAAAAGCTAGGAAAGGGAGAGATAACCATAGACTTAAAATGATGATAAAGTACTTGGGCTTTGAGATTTAAACTACATAGCCCAAGGGTTATGGGACACTGTCATTTTGATGGTCTCATTCCAGAGGTTCCTATGGAAGAAGAAAAAGCATGTGTTTTTCTGGGTTTTTAAAATTCAGAAGTCAAAAGTTTGGTTTGCAAGGATCAGTTCACAGATTTTGGGCTAATAGTAACGGGGCAGGGAAAGGAGACCCGTGACTCAGGTTGTCAGGGGGCCGGTGTCTGATCTCGCCAGACACTAAACTATACTTTGAGTGAATCTTGATTGAAAAAGAGGCAGTGGCCTTCTTTGTTATCTTTCGCCAAAGGATGTAAATTATAAAGTCACAGTTTCTCATAAAAAAAGGCTTTGATAGTTTCACTTCCTGAAACATATATTTGCAATCTTTTTAGGTAGTTATTTTAAGGTGATGTGTTTTAGTTAACACCAGAAACACTCTTGTTTTTTCTCTCCTAGTCTCTTCTGAATAAAAAAGTTATACATATACTTGTAATTTTTTATTAATCTTCTTAATAGAACAGAAGAATTAAAATAAATATCTAGAGATGAAAGTGTGTATTTAAGAGTTTTGTTTTTAATCAGTCCTGAGAAGAAAATATAGGTTCAACCAACATTTGTAGCCAGTTCTAAATAGCCGTAGAGTTTTCCCAAGTATTAACTTCCTCTTTTAGTATTATCTGTTAGCAAAATTGAAAAAAATTTTTTTTCTGAGTAAATTCGCAGCTTTCCTTTGCTTTTGCCTACTCTGTATAAATTAATGTTAGGTGGGAAGCAAGGCCGCTGGCTGGGTCCGGGCCTTGCAAGGCTGCAGGTGCCTTTCAGGTAGCACCTACTCCTCGCTGGCTCCAAGGAATAGATCTGCGCTTTCATGCTGGTGTGTGATTACTGTGTTGGGGGAACACCTGTTGCAGATTTTAAGGATTTAAAAAAAATGACGGTGAATTCTAGTTCAAAGTCTTGAGGACAGGATATCAAATATTCTTAAAACTGAACTGCTGAAGGTCTTTTTCCAGGCTTATTTCCTCCATAGCTGTGCAGCGGTCTGGCATGGCAGCACGCATAGTAACCAGATTCCCAGCGCCTGTGAAACAAACCTTCCTAGTTTTTATGGACTCTTACTGCACATTGGGCAAACATCTGTTTTCAGTTGTGCAATAGATATGAGTAGCCTTTGGGTTTGTGTTCTTTCTGTGATTACAACATGAGGAAATACATTCCTTTGGTGTGATATTTTAGTGGAACTTTAATTTTAAGGCTTGTATAGCATTCTAAAAGCTTGCATTATTCTTTTATCTAAGGATATATGGTCTTTGTTAATTACGTTGCTGACCTTTTTACTATTTCACATAATATAACAGTTAAAGGGTGATTAAACTGTTAAAAAAAAAAAAGTGACTGTTTTAAAAAAAAGTGCTTGTTGACATCATCTTTCCGAGAACACTAGTATATGTGATTTACTATAACAAGATCTTAGGTTTTCCTGTTGGCAAATGACATGTAATATTTACAGAGGTCTTGGGTTCAGTCCAGCAGAAACATCTCAGATAAATTGATGTGTGAAACTAAAACCATTTAACATTTTCTTTCATACGGAGATAATATAAACCGTTTTTTTAGTTTAAAAGCAGAGAGAGTGAATATTTAGTATAGATTTCCTTGAGGGGAACAACTTATAATAGAATATATTCTCCAGAGTTAAACGTCAAACCTCATGTTTTCAGTTTATAATTCAGTGATATGCTCCCAACAGTTGTGCATTTAGGATTCTCAGTGAATTCTGTGATTACACACTAGCTTTTTCTCCTTGTTACATGTTTCTTTTTCTTCCTCATCTAAACGTATGAGGTCAAGTATAGTATTTCACATATTTAAATTAGCATAAATTCTAAATTTGTGAGATTTTTACTTTTAAAAACTAGAAATATATCTAAACTGTTAACCTAATTAATGAAGTTATCTTCAGTGGTCTTTAAAGAGTACAGTTTGAATATTCCAACTGTCTTTAAATATTTTCAGCACTTAACCTAAACATAGTTAAGGGCTAAAAATTATTTAAATGTAGTTGAATGTATATCTATTGAGAAATAAAGAAACTGAAACATAATTACCTGGAAATTTAGTCTCATCTCTTTGAGGCCAGTTATCTTTTTAAGGTAGACCAGTTCTTAGGCACCAAGAATCTAAGTGATCCTTTTACTTCTAAGAAGGTAAGTACTTTATTTGTTTTACTATATTTCACTCTGATCAGTTTTTCACATTATAATAGCTAGCGTACTACAAACAGAAGCACTTCCCTTTCCAGCTGACTGATGGACTAAATTAAAAAAAAAAAAAAAAGAAGAAGAAACGCTTCCCTTCCAGTACCACAGTAATAAACAAGATTCCATTTTACGCTTCCTAAAAAAATAGCAAATAAGTTAAAATGGGTCTGAACTCCTCTGTGGTGCTAATTTATTTTTGTTTTATTTCTCTTATCCTTTTATGAATACCTAGAACATTCATATTAAGAAAAAAGATATGATAAATTTGAAATGACAGTTACAGTTTGTCATTCTCTATTTTCAGATGATCACAGTCGTGTTAAACTGCAAAATACCGAAAATGATTATATTAATGCCAGCTTAGTTGACATAGAAGTGGCACAAAGGAGTTACGTCTTAACACAGGCAAGTAGTATGATATCAAGCAGATGCCCGAAAATGAAGTTTTTGTGGTGGTTCTGCTTTAAAACAAAGCTAAAAGTATATCTTGATTTCTTTTGGAAATGTTATTTCGGTTTTTTCTGGTGATATAATGAATTATAGACATTATAAAGTTATGAAGCTTTGAATATTTAAGGTAAAAGTCAAGTTATTTTTAATGTTATACATTCTGTGAAGGAAAAATTTTATGAAGTGGCTTAGGAGGCCAGTTCTTTGCAGGCAAATTCTCTTCCTTGCTTTATGCTTGACACAAGCTTCTGTTAATGCTGTTTTAGCTTTTTCCCTTTCTCTTTCCATTCCCTGGAGCATCATCAGAGGCCCTTGACAGCACTTCTCTCCCCCTCTGACACATGCTTTCACAGAGTGCCATGCCTTGCATGCTGTCTGGCCATCTTCAGGGTTGGGGAGGATGCTGAGACCAGGTGCCCCAAGGCCAGGTGGTGAGCATTGTTCTCTATTTTATGTGCTTTGTGTAATTTAAACCTCAGGACAACCCTCCGTGGTAAATATTATTACCATTATTTTGTACATGAGGAATCTAAAGAGACCCAGAGACGTTAAATAACTTCAGGTTATACGACAAATAAGATGAAACCAAAATTCGAAGCCACGTAGGCTCCATGGTTCCTGCCCTTGATCATTCTATTCTACTACCTGTGATTGCTGTGTGACCTTGGACAAGTTACTTAACTTCCCAAGCCTATATATAATCTACCTACCCACCTATCTAATTCATCAATCAATCTATCTGTCTGTCTGTCAGTCATCTGTAGGAAGATGTTGTGAGAAACTCCTGTAGTGGCTGGTACTCTGGTGGGCCCTCCATGTGCTATTAATTGTAGTAATAACACTAATAGTAATCCTTTTATAAATGATCTTAAATCCCATTATGATAAAGAAAATGCCCGGCTAATACCCTAGTGATTGTTTTTAAACCTCTTGTTCCTGTTGAACCATTTTTGTGTGTCCTGATGGAGTCCTGTTCATTTAGAGTGTGAGAACTCAGAAGCCTGTCTCCAGCTTTTTCTTCTCTCCTGAATTCCCCCCTATATTTTCCAGGTTCATACTGGATGTTTTCACCTAGATCTCAAATTCTGCACATTCCATATCCTTTTTTCCAAGCCAGCTCCCTTCCTGTCCTCATCATCTGCCAAGTTCTTTCCCATTTTCTGCTGCCCCCGCCCCTTTCAGAGCTTTCTTAAATGTCACTTGTACTGATGTAGCAGCTTTTTAAGGTCTCTCCTTGCCACTGTCCCTCCTACTGCACAGGTGTAGTTCCCTACTGCATACCCCCGCTTCCACCTCACTGATCCATTCATCTTCTCTCAAATGTGCCGCATAAACTTTCACACGCCTTGCCCTGTGCTTGGAGTGCCTGGAACGGACCCTGCCTCCCTCCCGCCCTTCTTCGTACCCTCTTTGCATCAGGGCTCTCTTCTTTTTTAAGGCTCTGTTGTAGCGGTCTTCCTACCCACAAGACCTGATAGTTTATCCTTACTCTTGTGGCACTTGATGTGTTCATTAGTTGTACAAGTATCACTTTGTGCCAACTTTGCAAGCTCTTTGAGGGTAAGACTGCATCTCAGTTTTGCTTTTGCCCTCATACCTGGTATGTTGTTTGGAACAGAGTAAGCACTCAGAAAGTGTTTCAAAGGAAAAAGAAAACTGGAGATGCTAAATGGACATTAGCTCAGCTTTTCTGATTGTCTTTAGTTACTTATTATTTTAATTGCCTTTTCCTCAGAGTTTTATGAATTTGTTTTTTAAAAAATCTGCTCCGTAGTATATTATATCCATTTTACAGATGAAGAGGGCCGGGCGCAGTGGCTCAC